TGTCCTTGCCTGCCTTCCCGAACCTCAGGAAGTTGTCCTTGCCTGCCTTCCCGAACCTGGAGCAAGGAGACACACGAACTGAGGAAAGCAGCTTTTCTATGACGTTTAATAACACTGGTCAACAGCACTGTTGTAACAAAGAAGTTTCTTGGCTAAGACTGCGATACGTAATTCGAATATGAAATCAGTTTGCCTATCAGGCTCAGTTTTCGTGTTGCATGCTACTCTCTTTTTACGGAAATGCTTGAAAACACTGAATATTGGTTAATGTGGTGTAGATTTATTTGATAACTCTGCATATGTAATTGCTCAGGAACAATCAAAATTTGAAAAAGGAATTCTTTTACATGACACTGAATTCAGAAAATTTACCTTGAGGAAATGAAGTTGGTAACAGTACTGTTAAATCATGCTCTAACAGATAAAATTCAAGTTGTGTTTCTTGCCAGTTGCACTCCACAATTGAGAGTTCTAACAGCGTGGAAAGCGGCGTGGATATATTAATAAGGGGGGGAGAGAGAGAGAGAGAGGGGTCATGTCACACTACAGAAATTCTGAAATTAGATCTGAATTTAGAGGAAACGTATCTCACAGAAACAGTCTTTTTGTTAGACAAAAATATTTTTTTTATAGACAAGTGTGATTGAGCCAGTTAATCCATAAAGGATCATTTGAATAATGAGAAATATCTGGTGATGATTTTAATCTCGTTTATTGAATTTGTGGATCACGGGAGTAGGTTAATATATATACAGGTATTGTTTGTACTATGTAATACCACGTACTTTGTAGCCATGAAGCTCCAAACAAATAGCCTAAACGATGGAACTCTAACAAATGGATATTACTTGGCCTAGCCTCACGATCTTGCAATTCATTCTTTAGTGAGAAGTGAGGAAGCATGCTTAGTTTGCAAAACCATGAATGATAAGAAACAATTTATGAGTGGAGGAGCTGGAAATTCTAGAACCTGTCCATGTTAACATCAGGGAGCGAAGCTTTGTGCAAACCTGAGGAAGTTGTCCTGGTTGGCCCTTCCGAACCGGACGAAGTTGTCTCTGGGCGCCCTTCCAAAGCGCAGGAAGTTGTCTCTGCTGGCCTTCCCAAAGCGCAGGAAGTTGTCCCTGGGCGCCCTGCCGAAGCGGAGGAAGTTGTCCCTGGCGGCCTTCCCGAAGCGGAGGAAGTTGTCCCTGGCGGCGCGGCCCTGTCGGGGCAGCAGCAGCTCGTCCAGGGCGGCGTCGGCGTCGCCGGCGGCGTCGTCGTCTTCGCGGTCGCCGAGACCCGGGGACGGCGGCAGCTGGCCCGGCGAGGCGCTGGGGGCGGCGTCGGGGGCGGCGCCGGCGCCGTCGGAGGCGGCCGCGGCGAGCGCGCAGGCGGCCGCGAGGAGCGCCACCGGCAGCAGCCGCCACGGAGGAGGAGGCGCGCCCTTGCGCAGCGACATCCCTGCGCAGCCACGGCGCCTTCGTCAGGGACACCACAGCGGGGGAGGGAGGGGGGAGGCCAGGGTTGGTCGCTCCAGCAATACACGTCAATTGTAGCAAAACAAGCAACAGACACGGAAATAGTCGGGCCCATGTCGCCACATTGATATGATAGAACGTTTTGATTTGATAGAAAGACGAACTTCATAGGGGACTTCTTCAGGGCAATGGGAATATTTGTTCTCTGCCCTGAGAAAAAAGCCCCGACCCCAGCAGCACTTGGCTTTGGCACTCAGGCTTTGGCGCCAGTAGCGCATCATTGCCCAGAGCATGGACAGTACACACGATAATAGGAACAGATTTTTTCGAAGGCTTCTGTCGTCGGAGACCTTGATCGTGTTTTCCCATCAGAGTCGCGAATAGCGTAATCGGTGTTCTCTTCCAAGTTGAATGCCCTGAGAAAGTGTCTCCTGTGGCGGCGGGGCCTTCTACAAAACGGAATGTCATAGGAACTTGGGAAAATGAGTGTTATGCTCTGAAGATGGCCATATGTTCTGAGGATGGCTTTTTTAGTAACCACTTTATTTATACAGACGTGACGTAAAGAAGTAACAATATATTTTGTTTTGCTAAATGGTATTTAGCGTCCGTAAAAAATTTGAAATATTGTTACCGATCTTTATCCCGAACAACAGTGTGACAATTGGAGAGAAAAGGACTTCAACTTCAAGAGGACCTGCCTCACCCTTTCCAAGAAGATTTTAATTTGAATCCGCCGAAGGGAATTGACACATTATTAATTGGGAATTGGGAATTGAAAATTAATAGTGACACTGAAGAACACTAACTCTGTATAAATTTTCACTCGGGCTCTGAAATTCGTTCTAATTTTATACTATTTGCACTGAGGCATTTCGTTGCCGAGCATGTGCTACTGTAGACTTTCTTGTTTCCTAATACGTTTTATAACACACATAATGGAAAGTAAGTCATATTGCTTGAGAAACGCTGTATTTTTCACGCTGTTGACTCTATTTAAAACCTTCAGGGTATAAAGCTGTAATCAGGAAAAGATGGGATTCCGCCATAAATGTTGTGATAAAGAGGATGGGAATGTTGTGCTTCAACGAAGGCGTGCTTGGTAGCCTGAGCCTTTGGGCGGGATCTGTTAGGTAGACTTCGCCCAGTTTGCTTCTCGACGAGTGAAATGATATAACAGATGGCAGATTCAAAAGATGAATTAAGTAATCAAGGAACCTAAACCTAACCTAATCGATCTAATTATTGGAATTGCCACGCAAAATACTTTAGATTCATAATTCATCAATTTTTCAAGAATTTTTCATATCACAATAATTATTAGTGATTCCAATCCCAATTCTCTACTATTTTCAACAAACTCGCATAAATATACCCGTAATTTAAACAGTAATTTGCTGACGTGGCTACTCTCTGCGTGGCTCTTCCGAGCGGTCAAAAAGCGCGGGCCTTCGAATAGTTCTAGACTTCGCGGGCAGATGGCGGTGTCAACGGTGCGTATCAGAACACACACCGGAAGGACAGTATGTCAAGGGAGAGGCCTCAATAAAGAACGTTTCGTTCAGAAAGCACGAAATGAATTCAACTCGATGTGAAAATTCGCACGTATTAGGAATTATGACTAGCGATTAGTTACTTCATGGACCAAGAAACAGATTTTATTTTGTTCTCGGATTGTATACAGTATAGGCCAGGGCTATGAGCGTCACAAAAAATACAATGCTTAGACTTATCTCTACCTTGTTTTTACTTTCGCACATACAACGTACATTGTAGACATTTTAAAATTATTTTGTTTCCGAGCGCGACAACTACTGTAGGACAAATACGTGTAGTGCACGATGTATCACGGGAGGTGGTACTGTCATTCTCCAGTTGAATGCTGAGATCCGGCGCCAACCTACACGTCATGAGGTTTTACCCAGCCCGACTTTTCCCACCAGCAGGACACTGCCCCAGCAGGATCTAGGTTAGACATATCGAAGCTAGTGTAGTGCATGAAAGTATGTGTGAGTATGTAAGGGATGAGGACAAAAAGAATGAGGAAGGAATGATCGCGCGCAGACCATGGCCCGTTTGTAGGGAGCTCCAGCATTCGGCTGCTATTGAACGTAGAAACAACGGAAAACTATCGATCAGAGCAATTGGACCCCTGAATCTTCCTCCGGACAGCGACTGAATTCGATCTATATTTCTAACTAGAGTCGAAAAATCCTGTCACCATGGAGTCTCAAACCGTAGGTCCTTCCGGTCACAGGCTCTGGAGTGACTTCAGACCAGTTGATGCCATGAGCCACTTCAACCGATACGTAGCGTAGAGGAAGTACTGTATTTCTGCTGCAAAATAACGATTTTTTGACAGAAAAACACGTATTGTAGAGCTCTGGTACTGAATAAATCTTGTTTCTTTTATAGTAAATTGTCTCTTACACGTGTACTCAGAATCCACATTTTGTGAGCCCTTGAAATATCGAAAAACTGGCTGACAGCAAAACGTCTCTGTGTGCTTTCGTGTGCAATGTTAGAGCCTAAGCCGTTAGAACGACTTTCTCCAAAATTGATATTCCCATTTCAATCTAGTCAGTCTCAAGAACTTGAGAATTTGAGAAGAATATTTTGATTTGTGGGTGAACCTTGGGGATCATGATATGTTAACATTTTCAAACCTTTTGCAACAATAGCTCTCTAGTTTTTAATTAAATTTTTACTTCGGAAAGACGCCCAGGAAAATGACGCAGATCGTATTTTCGTTCAATGTTCTGACCTTTCGAAAATGCAAATGTGCAACGTTTTTCTGTATTTGCAACTACAATATTAAAGGAAGTGTTTTGCTAATTTTGTTCTAAAAATCAAACGGCGACAAGACTAAAGAGCCTCTGGCGGGATATTTCATTAACTAATTAATGAGAAATTAATTTGACTCCTGTAATATTTTCATCAGTCTTTTCATATTTCCTTTCCATAATTCCCTTTCATAATTCTATCTGCAAGAAAACCTGTCGCGTGATTTAAATGTTTTTATATTTCCCTCGTGACCACGATCCTGTCGAACCAGCCATGCAGCGTAAATTGATCTCCAAATTGGAAGCAATAACCAAGTACCTATTATATCAGTAAAAAATCTCAAAAAACAGCTCCAATATTTTCTACCAAGAACAGAGAAAATAGCTGGAATAGAATTCAATAAGCTTACATAAATGGCGCAGGGAACATTTTTGATATAATATCTGCGTTTTCGAAACTTGCCAAAAATTAACGTTGCAAAACTACAATATTTTTGACTGATACTATATTTAATACACTCTGTTATTAAAAATGAGATATTTAAATAAGATCATGTACAATTTTTAAAACTATAAGCAGTTTTGCATTTTTGCAGCTATTTGCAGTTTTTGTTCATTTTCGAAAATGCAGATTTGAATATTCCGTGCTTCTACTTCTTCTGAAGACGTTTACGAGAGGTCCGATCATAAAACTCGCCGCGAACTATGTGACAGCGCCGCGAGACGGCTAGGTAAAATTCTCAGAATTACTTCTCATTGTTGCGCAATGTTTCTGGCTGAAAGGAATGCAATTTTGGATTGTGAAATTTGGGTGATGCTTTCACTTTGAAAGTATTAGTTTTTTCATCTAATGCGCTACAATTGGTAATGAATTTTATAAGTGATGACTAATTGTTAATAGCGAGAGAAATTACAGTATTATATTACGTAACCGCTACTAGTGTCAGATGGTACGTGTTGTCGCAGCACCAATAGTTCCATTAATATTCTAGATTCCCAACATTTTTACTAAAGCAAACGATTTGTTATTATACTAAAACAGATCAATAGTCTAAAAAATCAAATTGAGATGCAAATTTAGTTTCGTGTATACATTATGTTACTAATGCAACGGTCAGTGGCGTGTTCAGTAACTTAATGTAGTTTCCCGTGTAATTTCTCTCACAATATTTGCAAAAAGCGGTTTGTTCTGTTATGGATTGTGAGTGGATGCGCTGAGCGTTTGGCCCCGGCAAAGTCCGTGCCTGGGACTAAAGTGATGAACCCGACGAAGCATCACCGTACTAACGGCATTCACGCGACTGCAAAAAAAGGCGCCGTCGACGCACTGAGGGTGAGAGGAGAGGAGAAGAGAGGGGAGGGAGAGAGGGGGAAAATGCGGCGCGACGTGCAACGTGCACGTGCTCCGGAGGTCGCGTTCCGCACGTGACTAAACGCTCGTCGCCTCGCAAGCACTGCATTCAGCGGCGCGGCGCTGGCACCGAAGGGGGGGGGGGCGGCAAGGCCCCATTAATCAGACGCGCGCCGCTGACAGCGGCTTCGATATCGAGACAAATTATCGCCCTTTAGCGCCCCGGCGCGCGCCCGCGTCGCCCACGACCGGCAGATTTTTCCCCGGAGCCTCGTCGAGAATCCGTCCGGAGGGGCGGAAAAATCGAGCCGAGTTTCTAAGAGGACGCTAATCTAAGATGTCGTTTCTGTGCCCGATAGGGCTTACTAGTGTTCTTCGTTATACGAAGCATGCGACATACTCGCTTCTCTACATGAATATTGGTTTAGAAGCCTTTCTTTCGTAAATTGCCACCCCTTGTGAGCTGAGGGGCTCCAGTCAAAAATCCATCTTTATTCGATTCAACTGTGCCATAACTGTAGGTATTATACCGAATCACCGAAACTTTGATAAACTGAAACACTTAGAAACATGTGTTCTTTACAACTTGTTTGTCCTTAGACAAAAGAAAATATTCCATTAAACAATGTATCTACTATATTACTCTAATAAAAATATATTTCAATAATTTGAGGTTTTAATGTACGCACTCTATTTTGATTTTTGAGAAGCTCAATACGACTTACGTTATTCACGAGCATTCGTAATTAGTTTACAAGATGGTGAAGCAAGTCACTAAGCACGAAGGGGAAAACAACTTTCCTCATCGCATTCTCGTAAAAGTCCGCCCGTCATCACAGGTGAACGCAAGATCCAGATCATTATTTTGTTTGCGACATCGTTGATCGC